GAGAATAAGGCACAAAGGAATGAATTAAGTGAAAATTGAAGGAAATCGGTGGATGTTAGAATGGCACATAATAAAGAATAGACAGAATATTTGCATGTGTAAAAAATTAGATAATAAAGAGAAAAAAGTTAAGTCTATATAAGTAACACAAACTTAACATATTGATTTTGACAGAGGGTACTTGGCAGTATTAACCAACTGACAATAAATTGTGAAATTAGACTTTTTTTTTACTGAAATAGTAAGAAAAACAAAATAGAAGTAAGATTTGTTTCATAAATACAAGAGTGGTAGATAACAATATTTAAAGTAGCTGATAAAATATGCAATATATTACAAGTTTTGAAAAAGAAAGACATCCATAAGCAATACATTTTGATTCATTTATAGTATAAGCAATGTATGACCTTCATATTCAATATCACCAAGTTAGATAAACATCAATAAAAAATTAATATTAAAGTTTGACAAAAATGTAAAAAAAAAATCTTGATATCAACATTTTAATATATTCATAAAATTATATAACAAAAATTCAACAAGAGCAGAAGTACATTATGCATCTGGCAAGATTGAAGCTTGATAACACTTCAAAAAGGATCCGTCGAAATTATCACAATCTATCTTTAACTCAGCCTTGTACTATTTCTAAACAGTAAACATCCTCCAACAGTTTGGATGTACTATCACATATAATAGAATTTGATATTTCATTCTTCATAAATGTATTACTTCAGATCCTTAAGACAGTACGAAGTTATTTGTAAGATCTAACAACAAAAGAAGGCATTTTCAACATTCCATTTATATTTGTGCACCAGATTTTTACTTCTCCATTCTAAAAAATGAAAATAAAATAAAAAATTAAGTGAGTAGAACTACTACATGGTCCTGCCATGTCTAACATAATTTGAGATTGTCTGACTCCTCTGAGACTGTAGATTTCCCGTTTATTAATATGATTTCCAACACTTCACTTAAAACTTCATTCATTACTGAAAATGAACATACACATCACACAGTACAAATTTATTTCCTGCTCCCAGGACCGGATTTAAATTGTCTATATAATTTAAAACCAAGAAAATTGAATTTTTCCTAATAATTTAAAAAGTGATAAACATAGAAATATATCAATTACGTTATCAAATGAAAAATACAAGCCAAAGTTACAATCTGAATTCTTCACATCTGTCATTGCAAGCTTTATCAGCAGCATAAAATAGATACATACAAACACACATTTATTTCAAAAAGTTATTTTCATTTTAAGGAAAAAATATATACATTTAGTTATTAGGAAACAATATCTTAGAATAATGAAAATTAGTACCAATTTTAAGTAAACCTTTCATACATAAAGGTAGTTCAATGTTGAAGGGAGCTACACAAATTTATTTAAAAAAATATTAATAGAAACAAACAAAATCCAGCCCTGACCAGTCCAAATTATTATCCAATAGATCATTAATTTCTTTCACATACATCAATAAGTAAATGGAGAATTACCAAATAATTACCATATGCACTGGAGTGTTAATGAAAGTATAAAATGTAGTCACACCAAGCATAACCAAATTTAGTCACATCTCGTTCAAGTGATGTCAACCACAAATGCATCACTGCATAAAATGTAACTTGTAACTACTTATTCAATAAATTTATTCTGATAAGACTTACCACCGTTTCTGAGATGCACAATTTATTGTCATCAATTAATGGTATTATTCAGCATTAAAGAGAAAATTTCATAAAATCTGTGAAAGACTTCTTACAAAAACAAATCAACCTATTGCAGTGGAAGACATCCAACATTTATGTTCTAAGTAATATCTAGCAACTGCTCTATTAGTGTATATATACAGAGTTAGAAAAATTCTGATTCGCTCCTAGAATTTTTGTATGATTTAAGAATTCATAATTTTTTCTCAGAATTTTCAACCAACCCACATGATTAATAACTTTTTTCTCTTCTCAGACTTTGTCATCAAATTAGATTTTCCTTGACTTATGAGGAATATATTTTCTCTGAAACTTACATCTGTTTAAAAAATTTCATGACTGTAAACATTTCCTTTCAAGAAATACTCAATTTACCTTATATCCTTAGGGAAGTAAAACTATTTCACAACCAGAATTGGTGCTTCACACAATATTAAGTTGTTAAGAGTTAAACTGACAATAAATATGAATATTCAGTAGAAAGCCACTCCAGTATTTTTGCAACAAAAATTTTCAAAAACAGTAATAATCCTATTTGGTACTTTCTAGAAATATACCAAAAGAAATCAATACTACTGGATAAAATTAATAACTTGCATATGTTAATACAAAGTTGTATATATTCACCTTGGTAATCATGATATATACTAAAAAAAAAACAAAAACAAAAAACAAATTCTGTTTATATAAACATGTTACAGAGACACAACTGAAATGCATATTTTGGGTAAGATAAACTGATCTCAACAGAAATGTATTCTATCACAATCACTTACAATATTATCACTCTTTTTTGTCATTAAGTACAAACCAAAATCACTTAGACTGTTGAATAGAAATGAATTTTCTTTCATCATAAAAACTACTGTAGCTACCAACAAAGAAAATAAGTCTATGAGGAAAAGCACAAGCAGCATAATTTTGGAGTCTGAAAACTAGAAACTTTTACAAATTTTTCCATAAATGACTAAGATCAGCATTAATAACTTCATCTATTTAGATTTATTAGGCCACATGTCTCTTTAGAATACAGGAATCATGCTTTGTTGATACATCATAATTAAATATCAACACAAAATGCTGGAAAACTAATAGTGATTGGTCATGGATAGTGATTGGTATGACCAATATTTATTGCAAACTTTACACGAGTGTACAATTGATGCAACATGCTGAGGTAGCTTTTGTAGATAGCAGTAATGTCAAAGACTGGGAGAAAATGACAGCATGGCAAACTTTGAAATGTATATATGCAGCCTATTACTCACAAAAAATCAACTTGCACACTGCAAATTTTCTTCATACTCAGATACGGTGGACTTCTGAAAAATCATTACCATCTTGGTAACAAGTCTTGACTAGAGGTCACAACTTAAATCTGTACCCAAATATGAGATAATTATATGTGCATATTAAAGTGTTATAAGTAAAATTTAATGAAATCAATTAAATAAATTCATAGCCATGGAATGATTTTATGCCTATCTAAATACTGCTGGGATACATAACACCCAACAATTTCTACACAAATCAACTACTATTGCATTATTCACACCAGTGCCATTATGCACACCATTAATTAGAGCAAAATATCACGTATTTCTTCCAAATTTTCATCAAACAATTTTTAATAAAAGTTAATTTTGATAGAAAGAGTAATTAAGAAAGTGAATTAGAAAGCTTTACAATGTGATTCAACCTCATATTAAACATATTTTAACAAATTTTTGTCAATATTTTCACTTGTTACTTTGCAAATCATATTATAAAAATCATACTATAATAATCAGACAATCCTCTTGAATTAAACTGAATAATCTTTTCTAACAACTATCATCTCCACATTTTAATTCCCTGTTTTCTTCTACAGGGTAATAAATTGTCATTATAATTCAATTTTTAAATTTTAAAGCAGTATTTTACAATCAATCAACACTAAGGATCATTCACCTGTATATAAAACAATGCTGAACAACTGAGCACCACTTTACTCGATATGATGATCGAGAAAGTCATGTTAATATACGTTTCATCAGTAGTCGGGCAATTCCCAATTTATTCATTACAACACTCCTTATAGAGATTTAATATTTCACAATAAGAACTTTCAAGTCTGAAAATGACTAAATTTCAGAACTTAGTATTGTCTTCATTATGCACAGTAATGTGTGGTTAAATGTTGTTCAGCAACAATAAATTTACACATTTTAGACATCTTGCCATCGGTAACTACAATCAATTTACTGTTGGCAGGTAATAGAGTTGAGAGAATGAAATAATGAATTTCTTTCAGTATAAAACTTGAGTCATTTTAAAAGAAGCATCTTTCTAAAACTAAAACATGAATTTTAATTCTTAAATCTATATCAAATAAATAACTTTTTGAATTTCATTGACAGTTCTTCAATAATTAAATCAATTGCATTAAATTCTAACATTTTATACGAGATATGTGTGCTGCAATAAAATTATTTTATTTTCTTGAAATTTATGTAGAAGACAAACTAAATAAATGTCCAGCTTTCAAAAGGTAACAATCAAGATGATTTAACATTGCATATGTAAAATGACAATTCAATGGGTTTTCATTTCATTTTGATTGGGAACCCTGAACTAATACATTTTTTTTTTTTAGATCTTCTCTATGTTCTTGGGAACATCCCTATTCTCCTGCGCTATTTTCCTTTACCATTTAGTGCTTCTCAAATAAAGATTAAATTTAATTGATTAAGGAAAAATCTTGACTCCCAGACAAAACATTTAATTCGATACCCATAATCCCATGACTATGAAAACTTCCTCATTAATTCCTCAAGCACTTCCAAATTTTTTAAGAAAAATAAGATTTATTACACAGTAAAAAACCGTCACCAACTATTTTATAAAAAATGAGAAAAACAAACTTATCTTGAGTAAGTAGAGAAGAATCTTTCATTACATATTCATTAATAAATAAATGTACGTCAACTTTCTAGCAATGTGAGTGATATATATGAATAGACAAAAGATGGGATATCACATATTCCAACATTCAACACCTTACCCATGAAAAATAAATCCAAACAAAAAGTAAAATAAAATAATACTTCAACAGAACTTCCCATCTGCACTAAAAATATAAAAAGCAGTCACATAATTGGATGAACTGTTGGAAACAATATAAAAAAGAAACTACTCTTGTACATATAACATGTTATTAACAAAATTTATTTCTCATGAATCCCGAAATGACTCTGGGCCAAAATTCATTATTGTAATAAGGACTTGGCAACAAAGATGATAACATGCTGCTCAAATATACATTTTGGACTACTATGTTACACAGAAAATATGGTATGGAATATTTACAAGGTATTCAAAATTAATTTTTTTTTTGATTCAGTTCACAATATATACATACATAAAGTATAGACGTGATACTTTTTGTCTAACATATACAATGAAATAGCTTGGTAGAGCAAGATTTTTGATAGTCAATAATTCAATACCTATACATTATTCACAGATTGTACAGATTTAAAAATTGCATTTCATTAAGTTCAAGTAAAAAAATAGCACTGCAACTTGAGAAATAGAAAAAACTACATAAAATGATAACACAATTGCAAAAGGCCAAAACCAAAATAGTTTCAAAATAAAGCAGCAGACTAGCAACAAAAATAACAATATAGAACAACACCAATAGTAAGTGGAGCAAAAAGGAGCCCAACAAAAAAGAAGAAAATAAATATTACACAAGAACAATGAAAAACACTTCACCGTGACACACACCACTACAAGTTGCAACTACACAAGTTGTCATGCCCTTTCAAATTAAAAGCCTGTTGATGAAAATATAAATGAAAACTAGAAATATAACCATGCCATTTTGCACAAAGAATAGTGCATTTCACATACATATTTTGCCATCATATCATCATGAAACAATTCTAAGGGCGAGACAAAAAGGAAAACCAAACAATTCTTGACATGCAGTGTACAGGGAAAGTGCTACGTAGATTTGTGCAAAAACTCTCAACGCATCCGCAAATTATTCTCAATTAAGTCATAAACAAAATTACCTAATTACTGCAGGTACCAAAAATAGTTATTCAGTCTGTTCTAAAAAAAAGGACATGAGATATTATAAATCAAAGGCGCTTTACCGCACACTTTGAAGCTTTGACACAACTTTAGAACCTTGGAAGAATTAGTAGATACTTATGCAGCAATCATTATAAATTATTTCTATGGTAACACAATAGTGTGTACAAAATTATGTAACTATGCCAAATATACATATTGCAAATATACCTGCATCCTCTGTACATCATGTAAAGGTACACCAATATTAATTATGAAATATCCTCCTTATGCAGTAAAAATATAGGCATTTGTGCTACTTACAATAATAAAAATTAACTTGCAACATCATACATTGACACTGACATTGTTTACAGTCATTACACACTGTCAGTACAGCAAAATGTGTAAACTAACATTTAGCTGAATGAATAGCATTAATATTTACAAAAATTACAAGAGGAGGTTTAATTATTATGCTCGTGGTATTGAAATATATAATCTGACAAAGTCTTCTAGTGCTTTGAAAGTAAAATTATGCAATGTAAATTAATTGAATTTCAAATTAAATACAAGCATTACCAAGTATTCCACAATATTTTAGATACAAAAAGAAGCACTGGTACTAAAATTGCAGCAGACACATGCAGTAAAATAAAAAGGATCAAGCTACAACATGCAAATACAGAGGGCTACATTATTTCTTTACTAATTTAATTATGTAGACATTATATATGACAATATTTAACACACAAAGCATGCATTTTGTATAATTTATATGTACAAAATAAAACTGACATTAATGACACTAGATAAGATGACCTTTTATTCCGGTAATAAAGGCAGGTTCCTGGATAGGGTTGATAAATACTTGGATTGTTCTTGTTCTAAAATAATCTATTTAAATGTTTATTTAACTTATGAAAAGATTACAGATTTTGGATCCTTGCAATAATCACAACAAATTTTTCGTGATTAAAATATATCAGCATCAACTGTTGAACTTTGAAATCTGACAAATGAGAATAATGTTACAATTTCCACTGTTTTATATTTATGCCTTAAGGTATAGCTATAATAATATACAGCTACAATAATGTAATAGTTTCCCATCTGACATATTCATGCACTTAATAAACATTTGCATAAAACACAAGTTTTCATGCTCCCACAGAAAAGTAACACTACACTGGATTTGAGAACCTATTATTATGAGATCACTGTGATGAAAACAGTTCAAGGTAAGCAATAATTACAATATATTCTACTTTACATGCAGTGTAGCTTTCTTTTTATTACTTATTATTTCTGTCAGTGTCTGAATGAACCTGCTATTAATATCTCAAATTAGCAAGACAAGGAATTTTATTAAAAACTTAAAATGGTAGAATAAATTAGTTAGAGGGAAGTTAGTATGAAACAACTTATGTTTTGAGTGTAAATCGACAATTAAAAAATTAAGAATACGAGGGATGATTGGATTATCAAGTTCCATCACATCACTTACCAAGTCATTTTGAAATTTCTAGTTAAGAAACAAATAAATTTCATGAAACCAGCAATAGGCAATGCTAAATATTTTAACAGAAAAAATTGAAATGCGCTTTCCATAGCAAGTGTGACTGACTATTGTATAAACTGAAACTAGCAAATTTTAATTCCTGAATACACTCTGAATAAAATTGAATTATGTTTTTGAAGCATATGCTAGGTCATTTCCAGTCTGTCAATCACTATATCAATAGCAGTACAAAATAAGTATGCCTTGAAATAATTGATGGACACAATAACATGAATGTTTCAATGCAAAATAAATTAAAATCACCATTCAAAATTAAATTTTAATGTTCAAGAGAAATAATGCAAATTCATTTTAAGTATTATCCCATTCTATTATCAACAGTATCAATGGCATTTATAATATTTTCATCAACTACAAACATAATTTAACAAGAGGCAGGAATATCTCTCTAATTAACAATTGCATCTCAGTTGATAAACAAAGCATTTGAAGAGTTACTCATTTTCATTTGCATAATTTTCGAATAGATCTGGCAATGGATTATAGACATTAAATATATGTGTAGGGGACATAAACTATGAACAATACAAAAAAGTAACAACAGAAAGTAAAAGTAAATTAAAAAGTAAAAGAGCACATATGTTTATGTGATCAAATAATACCTACACAAAAGTTTGATCAATTTTATTCACAATGATGTAAATTTTACATCTGCACAACTGGTAACTTTGTTATAAAGACATTCCATGAAGATTATATAACGGTATAAGAAAAACAATACTAAAGGCAAGGCATGCACTGATTCAGCAAGCAAGTTAAAGACTATGAAGTAATGAAAGACCAAAATATTCTTCATGCAATAATAATAGCACCAGAAGAAATTGCAGTATACCACATTTTGCAAAATAGAGTACTACTATTTGGACATTTACTACAAATACTGTAATGTCAGTGCTACTGAACATAAACCAGCCATATTTCTTAGAGCGACTATAGTTCAATCAAAGAAAAATAAGGCAGTCAAAATATTTTGTACAGTGAAACCATGTAAAAGCATGATTAAAATAGGATGAGATCAATCGTTTTGTTTCAGATGCACCGTTTCCAAATTCATTTAAAAAATGACACGTCACGTTGTTGCTTGATCTACCATATTTATCAATTTTGAGTCAACAGTATTAATGGTGTAATAAATAAACATCAATTAACAATATTACATGCACAGAAAACTTGTCATCTTGGAAACAAATTTAAATTTACCTCCACCATATCCTATAAAATAAAAATGATTTTGAAAATTCAAGAGTAATAAACATGGACATTTTTTGCATTATACATGCACTGCACATACAATTGCAATGCCACAATTATTTACTTCTTCAAACGACTAAACCTAATTCACCTGAACATTTAACCAAGTTCAAACAAGTTTACACGCGTAACACTTCAAATATGTTTCTGAAAATTCTTCATATATTAGTAAATATACAATGTCATGACAATCCACAGTTTCACTGCACAGAAAAAGATTTTAGAAGTCTAAATAAAAAAATTTATATTTGTTACACATTCTACTTGCCTGACTCCTACTCAAAAGCAATTATAACATCTTCATCAACATTCATGACTCAAAATAAATCTCATTTGACTACAAAATTAATTTGCAACAAAAACTGAAAATTTATCATTCTATCACCCTTACATGCATACATCTTATCAAGGTACAAGAAAATATTTATTGCTGATCGGCAATAGCCAGAAAAGAAAATGAATCAAGGCGAAGTACTGGTAATACACACTGAAAATGGAGGTGTATCGCGTGTTTGTTTCTACTGAATTCTAAATACAATTCATTCATTCATACATGAGCATGACAAAAATCCTACAAATATAAACCACTAAAACAGTTACTATGATACAAATTAATTCCTTGCTTTCATTATAATTAATCAACTCACATTAGATTTAAAACTACTGTGTAGTGACAGCACGCTGTACAAATACACAAAGAATATGGCCATAATTTTATGGGATGAAAATGACCCTCAACCATAAAACTGATTATCATGAGCAGAAATCAATTATATACTTAAGACTAGTTCTTACTTTAGCACAAAAATCATGCCACAATGAACAAAAGCTTTATATTACGCATATTTTGTCAAACCTCTTAACAATGAAGTATGCTTTGTTTTATCACAGAACAAAGATCAATTATGTACTAAGGGTGCAAGGCAACTTTTCTCTGGACCTTTGTACTTTGTACAGTTACACAGCAAAATTATAATGACCAAGGAAGGTTTTGTTAATCTACAAAATTTCCCTCAACACAAAGTACATCAACATAGTATTTTTTGTATATTCACCCTGGCCAAATTTTTTGATTTACTACTAACAAAGTACACTGAATTACCACAGATCAGGTCCACCTTAATATGAAACTGTGAGTAGTATAAGAAATAATAAAATTGTATAAACATTTCCATATGAATTGAATATCTGTAATCAGTGTGTTAAGGTGTACTAGTTTAACATGTACAGTATGTGCAAGAAAGGCTTGGTCAAAGTGGCCCTCAAAATTTTGGGAAAGGGGAGGGGTTGAAGACCCACGTGCTTATGCAGTACATGCATGCAAGGCAAAATGTCTTGCACACTCTTAGCTTTTAATGAAGTTTTAGGAAAAAGCTCTTTAGTACGCCTGCACATACCACACATGTAAGGAGCTGTGCAACCAGAAATTTCAAAAGCTTACAGATAGGTAAGGATTATTGAGATTATAAGTGGAAATATTTATACATAAATTAGATGTTAAAACCTATATTCAACTTGTCATGACAAATGTTGAGGAGTAACATAATATATTAATTATTCTTGAAGTATTTCTCAGTTTGGCTCGGAGCCCAATGGAGGATTTCTTCAGGAGGAATGCAAGGGCCACCTGCCATGTTATTCATGTGAAACAGTTATGAGATTCCAATTTTGCCACTTTTTCCCAATAATAAGGGACAGAAACTATAGATTGCATGGAAGAAATTTGTCAAAAATGACAAATCTTGAAATCCCTTAAAACAAAATACTCAGATGAGATGAGGACATGAAACTAGGTATAATAAATGCATATATATTGTAAATAGAAACTTCTCATTGAAGGATTGCTAGTGAGCTCTGCCGGGCACGTTTGGCTTCTTCTTCACTAATTCTTTGCTCAATGAGATATCGAGCTGTGTTAATAGCATTTGGAGAACCAGCTATTGTGACAATCCTGTTGCGAGTGCCAGGTGCAAAAGTACCCTTCTTGGATATTTGAATATTAGCACAACTCATATGTTGAATTTCAACTAAAGAACGACCTCCTGGTCCAAGAATAGCACCAACAATATTTTCAGAAATTTCAAGCTCGATTTTCTTTTGCTCTCCTTTCATTTCAGATGGGGTTGGACTCTTGCAAATAGACATAGGGGGTTGCTGTTGACCTGTACCTAAACCAAAAGAATTAGTGTTCATAGTAATGGGTGAACCTAGATTGCTGGGGCTAGATTGTCGTCGAAAACAATCATAACTGCTACCAGGCGTGCCACCTTCATACCGATCCATACCACTACTACGAGGGGTAGGAGATGAGCTGCCTAGTCCAGACACTGTGCCAATTGGTCCAAAAACACCACCATTGTTGCCAACACCATTAGCTGTTTGGGGAGAAGGAGTAGATTCCATAGGGCTGACTCCTAAATAACTTCCGGAGACAAGGGCATGGCTGCTTGATGAATTGTTGCCCGATCCAGCTGTCAGACCCAGACCCATTCCTAAGATTCCGTACTGTGCAAGAGTTGTCATAGCAGCTGTTATTTCACTGGTGGCTTGTTCATTGTAGCCACTCCCACGAAGAGTCAGTTTAATATGCTCCAACAACTGCGAAGTTAGGGAAGTTCCTCCAGAAGGAGCTCCTAGATTCAGGCTAAGATTTAGACCTCCACCATTTAGCAGCATGCCTCCTACTACCAAAGAAAAAACAATTAACTTACTTAAACTAATCAACAGTGATCAATTAGAAAACATAATTAAAAACTAAGAAACAAAGGAAAAACTATAGAAATACACCAGAAACATTATTGCAGTATAAGATTCTACAAACAATTCAAATCTGTCAATTTTTGGTAATTCTGCCTCAAAAGTAACAAATATTTGGAAAATTCTTACCTGATGATACTGGAGTGTTCAAACTCCCTGTGGAATTGAATGTTGTATGCATTGGAGTCTGCTGATTGCTGTGGTTTGCATATGGTGAACCAGTAGGATTATAATTGGCAACTGGACCCGATACATCTGCGTAACTCACATTAAGACAGGTACCACTCTGAGGATCTTCCACAACTTTTGCCAAAATCATGAGGCAAGCAGTTTTATTACTCTCCATATCACCTAAAATTACCACAATTCATTCAAAAAAACTCTCAAAATTTTGTGCCTATTAACAAATTCAAAACAACAGAAATAAGCATAGTAAACCTGTCTAAGACAGAACAGTCTAAAGTTTCCGGAGGAAAATAAATTAAATACTTCAAGGAGCATAAATGAAAAATCCTTTACAAGAAAACCAAGTCAGCTGAACACAACCAACACAAAAACAGGAGAAAACAATCCCAAATTATTTTTTTAAAAATGTTGCATACTTTTCCTACAACCTCAATTTAAATGGTTTTGTTCCTTTCTTTTATATATATTTGAAATTCTATATAAACAGAAGAGTTACGAGGAAATATTCTGATCTAAGTAAGAACATTGACATTCAACACACCATACAGGTAAATATATAATTTTTGTTGTATTATTATTAGTATTAAGATTTGTAAATTTTGGAGTTCCAAGCGAATATTAATAAATTTTACAAATATAACCGGGATTAACACATTTTTGAATAATTGTACTGTTAGGATATTTCATTTCTGTAATGTGCAAAAAACAATTAAGTTTCCTATATTTGTCTTTACAAATTGAATGAATATCCAGGAAGGGGAAAGTACAGTAAATTATTCTAAAAAAAAATCTTCAAGCTATATTTAATAATTTAATATCAGAGCTAAAAATAATAAGACTGTAAAGGGAAAGCCTGTTGTTGTAGTGCCATTAGTTTTAAGATGCGACCACAAAATCAATGTTAAAATCTCGGAGAACAATAATGGATTCACAACAGCGATTACTTTGTTTATAGTTACCTCTCAATTTAAATACGTGAAGTATGCTATAGCTTGCTTTGTAGGAAGCCTGTAGGTGGAAAGTAAGAATTTTGAGAGTAGGAAAATGTACGATAGGTATTTGAAAAACATTTTCAACTGAATAAACATTTATGTCCGTCAAAGGGTTAGATTCAATATCACTTCTAACATAAATAAAGGAACCTCCATAAGCAAAACCCCTATTTGAAATCTTAGCTCTAAAATAATAGCCTGCAAGATATAAGTTGGACATTTGGAAAATGCTAATTATGACCCACCTACGTGAATCCTGTAAGCCCCACTTTATTAAGTTGGAATTTACTTACTCGAAGGCCAGGACATATTTTTAATCAGCAGATATCTACAATATAGCACTCTCATAGAAATCATATTCATCTGTTGTCAGTATTGATAGCTCACTAAAAAAAAACCTTCAAATAAATCAATGTGCATTACTTTAAAACACAACGCCAGAGGATTAAAACCTATACAAAAGATGTGGCACGTAAAATCTTTTCTGTTACACAACTGTTACTATACAAGTACAGACTATGTTGAGCATCACAGAGAGAAAAAAAATCTTGGTTTTAATAATGTTATGTTAATGTTAATGTATTAGTTTCTATTTGAAAAATTTGACTATATAATTCTAAAAGACCAAAATGCCTATAACAAGTATTGTACCTTAGCTTTTGGGTCAATGACCCCCATTTCGATTGGGTGTTGTTTTGTCCAGTTTTCCTGATCCTTTGAACAAATCCTGAAATGCCTCATGGCTTTGCTTCTGGACATAAATGTAGCTTCATAATGTTTTGTTAAATGTAAGTTTTCTTGAGTTCTGTGGGGAATGTAGATATTCAAATAATCATTCTCCATTTACTCACTGCAGTTAATCGATTCCTTTATGTAGAGTACAGAATACTAGCCAAAACCTGTCGTTGATTTCCCTATGCAAATAGTTTTCATAACATCAGAGCGAATATTTTTTATTCTAATTATCACCAAAAATGCTCATTATAATATATATTATAATCATAATTCACTTCATATGTATGCGAGTTAGGACATATAACATAGCTCAAGAGAGAGTGCACAGATTGCACTTCTCCCCATCGTCACACAGTTTATCGCTGTTTTGACGTTAAACAAACAATACGACATAACCCGTGATCTGTAAAGCAAAAATTCTTATTTAAATCGTTCTGTAAAGCAAACTCGATAATCTTTGTCTTATTTTATTATTTCGTGTGTCCAAGCGCAACATTCGTCATAAGATTCGTATGTATATTGGACGTTTTATTACGGGAATTGCTGTTTTTCCCCGCTAGATGATCAGATCCGGCGCCAATCTGCACGTTGGCTTGTGGAGTTTTCCCCATCCAGGTACCTCCCACATAGCCGGACAAGCTTTAAGCTCCTGACGTGTGTTTGTGTTGTCCATGTAAGTAAGGTGTAAAGATAAGAAAGAAAGCGCGGGGTCCGTGGCTTGTTTGTTATGGTACTACTGCAGCATTCTCTCGGCACTAGAGAAGAAAGAACATCAAAGAAACTATAGAAAACTACCGAACAGAGCAGCCGGCTGCTAGAATTCTCCTCCCCACTGCGGCAGAATTCGACCTATCTAGCCAGTGTCGAAAAGCCTGACTGCCACAGTCAGGACACCGTATGACCTCCTGGTCGGAGGGACTGCAGTGATATCAGTTGACGCAGTAGGTCACGTCAGGCGCTCAGGGATATTTGAAATTTATTGAACTTTATGGTGCAGAATGTGAATCTTTTGTATATACACAAATGCTTTATCAGTTGCAATTGACTGTAATTGCTACATAATATTTTCTCATTTTTTACCCCGACAGCGTGGTCGAAGGATCAACTCTGCCCAGACGTCTGCAAATCTCCCGTTACATTTAAACACAGATGGAAGTGGGTAGCTAGAGAGAAACGTCCTTCTGGAAATGGATGAAAGACGGCAGTCACGGTTGTCTGCTAAAATTAGTACCCGTTTTTAGGTTAAGTAGGAATGTAATTTTCACGTGGGCTAGGATGCATATGATACGTAGTTTTGTTTTGAGGCGCTTCCTAGCCGGTTCGTGCGGGAATTTATCGATGGTAGAAGAGGGCATGGGGATCAGGAAGGTGAGCAAAATCTGTTTCATAGTAAAAAACACTAAATTCGTTTTGTGTTGTGTCTCGATGATTTGAGTGTCTGCTGTGTGATGTCACGAGTATACGTTGGCGACATCTGTCCAACTTACTGAAGTGAAAGATCTCATCCAGCTTTTGAATGTTCTGTTCTAATATTGTTAATGCGAAGGCTTTCAGAAGGTGGGACAGGTGCAACATGTACATAACTTAATATTTTGTAATTGTAGGGTTGATTTTTACTCAAATTCAAAATTAGTAATGCTACAACGGCCAGTACATTTCTCAAAATTTGTAAAGGTTACTAAGCTTTATAATACTACTTGAACATACATTCGCGTAATTTTAGAAAAATTAAAACTTAACATGCAATAACACGTATGCCATGTTATTCAGAGAATTAAACTCAATCCATTAAAAAAGTTTAAAGCAAAAAATTAAAATATTTTTTCCTTCAGAAAAATATGAAAATTTTAAAATTTGTTTTATATCACGCAAAACAATCACACTCGTCAAAAATTGTACATGAGATTTAAAGGTCTACTTTTGAAGCAAACATAGTACAGAGTCAAATATCTCCATCTTTAATATTGTAGTTGCAGGAAGATATAAAATTTGAACTTTTGCAATTTTTGAAAATTAAGGAAGAAAAAGAATTCGATGAAATCGGGCAGATACAATCAGGCTTATATAAATAAGGACACTTTTATGATGAACAAAGAATACATTTGGAGGCATTTTCGAGAAAATTTGGAAAATGTCGATGGGTCTTCATGTACAACTCAACCCTCAAAGAAAACAAAATATCCGTTTCAAATTCGCAGCATCAACCAGACCGAGCGGGGTATCAGTTTTTGGACAGATTTACTGCAGACGGTTTGTAAACCCTTGCTCTTTGCAAAGCTTCCGTAACGCTGATTAACCTGGGATCTTAGCGACGCTTGACTACTTCTATCAAATCTTCCGCAATATAATTTCTATAACACTCAGTACGTACTGTCTCCTAGCTCAATTGCTTAAAATATTACATGTCCATCATATATTGGCATAATTTGAACTTTCCGGAATTTAGAAAGCCGCGCGTGACAGTCACTGTGGCATCTGACACCGATTTTTGCTGCGCTCATACATTATTTCGTAAAATTTTCTTAATAAAATCATTTATCTACATCCTCCTGTAGATAAAAAACGTACCAAGTACACATTGTTAGGAGAAAGCATCGATGGAGAATATTATATAAACAATTATTGTGCACAATTTTATATTCACACTAATATTTATTTATTGAACGTTAGAAAGTATGTGAATAATCGCATTAGTAGTGTCCCAATACATACTTTCAAGCCTTATTTCTAACATTTGCAGTTTTCAAAAATTCAGAGTTTAACGAACATGAGAACTGCTCCACATTCCATGAGAACTGTCCATTGCTCTATCCGTGAGAGGAAAAAAAGGGGGCGGTTTAAAAATATTTTGCATAAAATTTGAACACAAATTACGCGAAAACTTCTAGTTTAAAAAAGTAAATGAACTTTTTAAAGATCATGATTAGAACACATCAAGTAAGACAAAAATATATATCTTCAACAAAAACCAAAATCTCCGTTTTAAACTCACAGGGCTTTGAGTTCTTGTAAGTCGATCGGAAAATGTCAATTTTGAAGAAAATAGTCTGAATGATTTGGAGCTAGTGTTGACCGCAGAGGCAAAGAATAAATTTTTCTGACTACACGGTTTAGAGGAAGTCATTCACTACAAACAGGAAAAAAAATGTATACACTATTTCGTTACCAGGGCCCGGTAGCAAGAATTTTTCTTTTGAAAAATCGGCGCTCTTCCGCGCACATTCACTTTTTTGTTCTTCTTACTTAGTATGGCGAGGCAGTAATACAATGAATAATTACTTTTATTGAAACTATTAATACTTACACGTTTGATGTGAATCCCATTTGCCATATTACACATAGAGGAGTATTTATTTTTCAATTATTTACGTAAAAAACAGTTAAAACTGTGTATAGTGTTATGGGGAGAAGTTAATTTGAAGTTACATTTCTTTTTGA